GTAAGGCTTGTTCAAGTCGAAAAATTTCACTTTTATCGATATCTGTTTGAGGAGTTGTGGAAAGAACAGTAGAAATCATTGTTGCTACTTGGACAGTCAGCAACTCAATTCGTTCTTTGTCGAGTAGCTGTTGGCATAATGATACTCAGCTCCACTATTACGGAGATCATAAACGATTATTTACATATGAAAATTGTTCTTCTTTATTTGCGTGAATTCTTTTGTATATACCCGCGTTCGAAATTTAAAAATAATCTAACCGATATTTTCGAGCAGTTTTTAATAGACTCCAAAGAGGATGTTTTCGATTTTGCGCAAGCTATTTCACATGCTTATTCTCGACTGTTATGTGCGAAGGGATCATTTTTAGATAACACACATGACCGTACGAACTACAGTCTCATTTTAATCAATATTCCAATGCCACCAACAATCGACCCTGTCAAATATCACCGATTGGGATGAAGAGACACTTGTCAGACGATTACCATTCGTTTGTCATGTAAATTCGTCAACGTTTATTATTGAAACCGAAGAACTCGAAGCTGGAGATATGGATCTTTTAAAATCAGGAAAACATCCATTTCAACTTCTACAAAACCATCCAACAACGCTCCTTTTGGCCTATCTTCCGACATCTATTCAACGTTTGTACATGCAATTATTTGCATCTACACAAATCTCTTCGGATGAGACTTGTCCTCTGCCATATCTGCATCTTTTAACAGAGTTTCTTTCAATTATTGTCACCAAGGAACGAAGTTCTATACGTTTTCACGTTTTACTCACAATTCTTTCATCTACAATCAAACAATACAAGATGGACAATTTTCTTCCTATTATGACTGATGGAGGAATGCGATTTACGAAATTTCGCAAACAATATGATCAAAGTTGTTTCGAAAGCTTTAGAGGCATAGTGCGAGTAGTCGAAAGTTATGAAAATCAATGCGATACACGAGAACTAGACATTTTGGAAGAGCGACGTCGTATTGAAAATGCTCAGAACGATTTGCAGTTGTACGCTGCGTGTTGTTGTCTCGCTAGATTGGTTAAAGAATCCTATGGTTCTAAAACAGAAACGGTGCAATTCGAACTCAATCAGTTATGGACTGCGATTCAAGCGATTAAAGAACATGTATGGAGATTGAGTGCTGCTATAAACATTTTTTGTATTTTGGTGCCAACTTCAACTATTCGATGGGAAACAACAGATGAAAAGAAAATTTATCTGCTCCGTTTGATAACTTCCTTGGAGGAACTAGAACCAACTATGCCACTATTGAGTTACGTTGCTCTAGTCGTTCGCTGTATGTCTTTCGTTCCCGAAGGTTTTCTATCGGATAACAGATTAATATACAATATACTACAGCGATTGAGAACAGCAACGATGATTGAACAACTATCCATTTGTGAGGCATTGATTTCATTATCTTGCTTTCGGCATGACATTTTCCAATATCTCCGTCAATCACAATGTTTTGAGAATAGAGTCGTGTTCAGCCTGGTTAATAGCTATACGACTACTAGTGTTTCAAAATATTTGACTAACAAGTTTTTTTCAACTTCTGATATGGGAACGATCCCTCCAACGCTTTTAATGAGCATGTATTTGTCAGAAGTAGCTTTATATATCAATTTTCTCGATGATTTTTTTCGTAAAAAAACAGATCATGACACTGTTGACAGACTATCATCACAGTCCTTGGTCGAAACATGCTTGCAACTACTCGACAAAGAACGAATTGAGTTGCTGACTGTCCAAGTAGCAACAATGATTTCTACTGTTCTTTCCACAACTCCTCAAACAGATATCGATAAAAGTGAAATTTTTCGACTTGAACAAGCCTTACTGACAAAGACGGGTATAAGTGAATCTGCACATCCTGTTGTCCTTGAATGGCTTAACTATCAAGATGACAAATTCTTTTGCTCATTTGCCTATCAAGGTGCTTTACTATTAGCCTCATCCAAAATTTGGACACCAACGGTTATCAAAATATGTTGTGATCTACTTAGTAGTGAAAATGATCCGCTTCGTGATAGAGCTGTCATCTTAATTCGTAATCGAAAATGGTGCTCTGAAAATCAAAGTATCAGTATAGTTATCAACTGGTTTTCTCAGTGGAACAAGCAAGAAACAAAATCGATCGCGCAAGTTGAACATCTCTTTGCTATTCTCGACATACAAACGATCGTACAAGTAAGCACTTGTTTACTTGGTTTTTGTACAGTTGTGGATAGTTGTTAGCCGACGGGAGGTGATCAAAACTCGAGTTTGTACATAATAAAGGTGTTGAAGTCACAAAAATGAAAAAAAGAGGTCGGAGTTTAACTTGCACCACCACAGTGTCACACTGCGTTTTCCTCTCTGCACGAAAAGTGCAACAACTCTTTGAGGGAAATCGATAGGGGTCGGACACTTTCAGGGTATATCGAGGACCCCTAGCACCACGACCAAAAAACATTTCAGCCCTCTACGACTTTCCTGGACGAAACGGCAATTTCTTTCATTCTGCCCGATTTCCGCTGGGAAAACGCGTAAAATGTCCGTAACTCCCCATGGGAAAAGTCTCCGCCCGAACCCTCTTAGGCTTTTTACCCCCACCCAATGCCCTATCGAACCACGCAAGAACGAATGAAAAAGGAGCGCTTCACCTCGGAATGTTCCCTCGTAAGCTATACATTCATTATTTCTCTGTAGCACACCTTGTTTTTCTAATTATAATTCTGTCCAATAGCTGCATCGGTACATCCAGCGATAGAAAAAGAACATTCTGAATAGAAAGTCATACACAAAATAGACTGGTTATACATTTCATTTGCAAGTCAACAGCTGCCCACGTAAGATAAATTTGAATTCTTTGAGAATGACTGAGTGGAAAGCGTATAAGAGGAACCCACGAGTTAAAGGTCACAAGTTCGAAAAAGGCTCTTCCCATCATTCGGATTGCGGCTGAATAAAAATACGGCTAGTGACGTTGAATCACGTGCGATTACGCTTATATACAGTAGTAAAATAATCGTTTATGATCTCCGTAATAGTCGAGCTGAGTATCATTATGCCAACAGAAAAGTCGTAGTTGATATAATTTAATTACATAAAAAGGATAATAAGACACGAGAAAAAAGGAATAAAGGAAATTTTTTGGAGCAGATCACTATTCTGAGACTAAACTTAAGAGCTATTGTTTTCGCTATTGAATTTTCCAAAAACTGCCGCTTGAGTTCTATCGCTTGTGGTTATGTTAAGCATGTCAATTTCTTTTTCATACTCTCCCCGACTATCTTGCTTGACCAAAAGGCGAACGAGTAGTGTCTTAAGTTTATAATCGAACGTACTTCGAGAATAATGGCTTATGAACAGATGATGTTGTGACCGTGGATCCTCGATGGCTGCAGTCAAAATTCTTTGTACCTCAGTAATAGATACATGATCAAGAAGAGTTAAACGTAGTAGTACCTCAGCGGCAGTATGGCGTTGTCTCAATGACAATGACAATTGAAAGATATTGAAAAGAAGCTCGATTGATCGACGGTCTGATACGAATCGCAACGTAGTAACTAAATTAGTTAGATGCAAATCCTTTTCTAACGTATTTAGTACATGTTCCATGAGCATTGCAATATAATGAGGAGAGACTTCTTCGAAACATGCATACAGCGTTAAGCAATCATATTGTGAAGACGTATCTAATTTTTTGTTCATCTCGTAGAGGCCTGTTCGAAAGACTTTCTCCCCCATTGAAGTCTGGTGGACAGCACGACGAAATTCATTCGTTATTTTTGCACAGATATTTGTTGCCACTTTGATGTAATCTGCAACACCAAAACACCATACGTTAGCAAAGTTTTCGTACATATCATGAATAAAATATGGTAGTAGGACTGACGCATGTCTAATTATCCAGTTACTGGCTCTCTCACAGTAATTCATTTCATCTTCACTTCCCATAATCTTGGCTGTACTACTCATATACGAATGGTAAACATCAATAACACCATAGTTATCTGGTTGTATATCTATACGTGAGAACATTCCAACTAAAACCGCTTGGCGTAAACATGATGAATTGGCATACTTTTGCAGATAATCAAGTCTTTTGAACTCTTCTTCTGTGAACATTTGATCTTTTTGTTGGATATATAGTGACCAGATACATGCAGCAATAAGTTCATCGGAATGTTCTTCTTCATTATTCATTATGATTTGCCAAAGTAGGCTCCGAACTTGTTCATTATTTCGGAAAAAAATAGATTTTTTGCGACAATTACTTTAGTTTTGACATTAGGATAATTTAACATCATTTCAATGAATAGTTCAATAAATTTCTCATTAAATTTTAGAAGTTCGTAAGGAATATGTTCAAGAAGCCAGTGTAAAAATAAAGAATCAGTTGAATGTGGTAAATAACTTGTCAATGATTTTATAATCAAACGGATATATTCTATGACTTCTGCCGATAGGGATTTTATCAATCGAAAGAACGACACATCATTCATTTCGCGCTCTATTTGCATCATTTTTTTAATGTCGTCGATCGTTTGTATGTCGAGAATAGCAAAGAGATGTTCAACTTGCGCGATCGATTTTGTTTCTTGCTTGTTCCACTGAGAAAACCAGTTGATAACTATACTGATACTTTGATTTTCAGAGCACCATTT